TTAAAAGCTAAGTATTGTTTAGTCCTATCTTGATCATTCTCCTCTATTTTGTTCTTATTTTGTGTTGCAGCTCTGGGACCCTTTATCTATTTGTGAAAATTGATTTTTTGCTGTTTGTTTTGGAGACTGAGGTTTCTGATGACTGCCACCTAGAATAGTGATAGAAATGTAGCCGTGTTAGTCTGGGGTAGCTGAAGCAAAATGCAGGACAATGTAGCACTTTAAAGACTAACAAGATGGTTTATTAGATGATGAGCTTTCGTGGGCCAGACCCACTTCCTCAGATCTGAGGAAGTGGGTCTGCCACCTAGAGGTTGATTCCTGGAACTTAATCAATGCACATATAGCTGATGGAATCAAAATAAAAATACTTGCTTCTCTCGATTTTAAGTGAGACTGACACATAAATTTAGCCAGCTGCCCATCTGTCCAGTTACTGTTCATTGTTTCATCTGTTTGTCTCTTTCCACTGTAAAAGTATGTGATTTTTCAAATTATTTTCTTACATCAGATTTTCTAGTGAGGTGATTTTCTGAAGTGAGTGCAATAGCTGTTTTGCCAAGACACCTATGCAAAGATAACATCTGATTTGATTTAGCATCCCCATTGTGTTCTGAAAATGGATAATTTGATCTGTATATTTTTTCTGGAACAGACCAGATTATTTTTGGCAAATGTTGTTATTTATCCTGATTGCTTTTCTGCATGTGCAAATATTGTGAGCACAACTAGAATACAAATAGTAATGATACCGATAACAATAACTATGAATGATGCAGATCTAAAGGAAGCTTACAAAGGCATCAGTCTCTTGTGGTAGTAGCACAGAAATTTAATCCCTGATCAAGTTACTAGTTTAAACCATACATAACCCAAGTTATAAGCAGTTTTTATATTTTTTTACTTTTATACTCCTCTTTCTGCACACAACCCCCACTCACACAACAGCAATATCTGACTAGATGGTTACTAGATGGTAATGATTTTGTTTACACCAACATATTGAGTCAGTGCTTTCCTTGAGGGAAAGCCAAGGAAGTAAACTTGATACCACCAGTTGGGGTAGATACAATGGGTGAAATGTTCACCCCAGTGAAGTCAAAAGTTTTGCCACTACTCCAGTAGAGCCATGATTTGACCCAATGAGCGTGTAACCTTATATTCCTCACTGAGGCCAAACTCTCATTAACTTCACTGTGAGCTTAGCTGCATTATTTAATGTTGGACCTGGTCCTGGAGGTTAAGCTCACAGCACTAATAAACAGAATCATCAAAGCATGCAGGGCCGTGATGGGCAACTAAGACTAGTGAGTGAACTGCATGAGTGGCCCTCCTTTGTCTCAGTGGATTGCATGATTGAAACTAGTGGTGTGTAACCTGCAGTCCTCAATCCACTGGGACTCCATCTGCAGCCCACTCACCCCATCTGTCCTCTTCCCCCACGCCTCTTGCGGACAGGGGCATTGGAACCCCACACTTCCTACTCCTTGCCTGCCCTCCCAGCACTCTTTGGAGAGTCATGAATCCACTGATTCGTGTTCTTTCCCTGTTCCTCCCAGAGCTTAAATACCACATCTGATTATAGTTGTTCAAGCTCTGGGAGAGAGGGCAGGAGTATGAAGTGCAGGGCTCCACTGCTCCAGTGGGTGAGAGGCACATAGGGGAGGGGACCAGATAGAGGGGCTGTACGCCACAGGTGGAACCCCAGGGGGATACATGTGGCTGTGGGCAGAAGGTTGCCCACCACTGACCTAGGGAATAAAACAAGTGTCTTGAAAGACAACTTATTTAAGAGAAGCAGTACTGACAAAACATATTATATATGTTCTGTTAATTCATTATTATCCTAACCAGGCGAGAAGTACCATCACAAAGGCTCATAATTACATCATAAAAGTACTACCAGTTTTTCTCTTCACCTTCAGTTTTGTAGAACATATTAATTTGATAATGAAACATCTTTAAGTGAATATTAGGACTTCTACAAAAACATGAGCACAAACATGGAATAATACCAGAACAAATACAAAAGACTGGGGCTGCCTGGCATATTTTATGAATATTATATGTTCCATCTGTCTGTTTCTGTGTGGTTTGCTACCTGATTATAGGAGATTAATTCAAGCACCTAAGCAGGAAATGGGATAATAGCTTCAGCTAGCCACCATTTATCAATACTTAAAAGACAATGCAGGTGTCATTTGCTTTGAAGTTTTACCTCCCACCATCCTCAGCTCAACAGCCTAACTTGGTGGCAGGTGTTTCCCAGCATGAAACAAACCGGTAAAACTGGAACAAAGGACTTTGAGTGGATAAATGGACAATCCCTGAAGGTCAGGGAAGAGGGAGGCAGAGACTGCTAGAGAATCGGGTCAACCTCAGAGGTAAAGGGAGCTGGGATAAGATATGCCTACCTGTGTGGTGCTGGAACAATTTTTATAGTGGGGGTACTGTCTGTGGAAACCATGCATTTGGGTTGTTGGTATTAGTTCTAGGCAGGGGGTGTGGTAGCACCTATGCCTATAGATAAAATGGACATGGATGGCAGGTGAACCCCGGGCTTGGGGAGAGTAGCCATGGGTTGAGTTCACCCCATCTGAAGAAGTGGGCTGTGCCCGCAAAAGCTCATGATACCATCTACATCCGTGGTCCCCAACATTTATGTGCGCCCGCGCCGGCATTTTAAAACTATTCACATTCACCCCTGCTTAGAGCAGGGTCGGCAGCCTGGGGCCCGCAAGGGAGCCCAACGCGGCGCATTCCCAGCAGGCAGCCCGCACAGGCGCTTCAGTAGCCGGAGCAAACCCCACACTGGTCAGGTCCAGCTGCAAGGCAGCAACAGCCCCCCCTCTCCCAATGCAAAACAGCCAGGGTAGGGCCCTTTGTGGTGCAGGAGCTGCGAGCCAGCAGGGGAGGGTCCCTCATGGCCGCTTCCTCCCCACTGCACAAGCCCATTGGCCGGACCTGGACAATGGCAGAGGGACCCTACCAATCCCCAAGCTCATGGCCAGGCAGCTCCTGTGGGAGAAACAGGAGAGCAGTGCGTCTCGCTGGTAAGTGTCCGGCCCCCCAGCCACTCCCACTCCGATAGCTTCACCCACAGAACTCTCCTCCCAGACTCTGCACCCCAATCCCCTGCCCTGAGGCACAATCCAAACCCCTGGCCTGACACCCGCTGCCCTCCCTCCCCAGTAAAATTTCTGGTATTTTCAGTTTCTCAGCTGGAAAGCCACTTGGGACATTTTTCCCCTGCCATGTGGAAGGGAGTGTGAAATTTAAAGGTGCCATGATTTTTTTGGGGGGGGACGGGTGCTTTTTTTGCTCAACATTTGGACATCCCTCCCCTTTTATTAATGCAGAATTTTGTTTACAAATGAATTACAATATCATTAAAATAAAAATTATTCAATTAAATTACGTTTCTATCAAATTTACCCAATTCACATTTAATATGAAAATAGCCTGCAATTTCACATTTGACACCTTTTTTTGTTGGTGTCTGTCACACTCTTCTGAAAACATGAATGTGCTATTGGCCACAAAAAGGTTGGGGACCACTGATCTACATGTTTTGGTAGTCTTTAAAGTGCTGCTAGACCAGTGGTCCCCAACGTGGTCATTTCTGTGCGCCTGGTGAGTGATCGGGGCCAGCCCTGGGCGTGTGGCACATGAGCAAACCCACCCCCAGGTGCACGGTGCATAGGCTGTGCCGGTCCCAGGCGCGCGGTGTATGAGTGGCCCCGCCCCTGGGCGTGTGGCACAGGAGCGGTGCTGGCGCCAGCGCCGGCCCCAGGAGTGCGGCGTATGGGTGGCCCCACCCCCGGGCTTGGGCGCAGCCCCGCCCCCCGGTGGCCAGCATGTGAGTGGTCCCGCCCCCGGGCGCCCAGCAGCCCCAAAAGGTTGGGGACCATTGTGCTAGACTATTTGTTCTTTTTAAGTTTTTAAAAAGAATATGTACATCAGACAGAATGTTCTGATTATCACATTACGTCACATCACTCATGTTTTACTTGTAAACCCCCGGGCTTGGGCGCAGCCCCGCCCCCCGGTGGCCAGCATGTGAGTGGTCCCGCCCCCGGGCGCCCAGCAGCCCCAAAAGGTTGGGGACCATTGTGCTAGACTATTTGTTCTTTTTAAGTTTTTAAAAAGAATATGTACATCAGACAGAATGTTCTGATTATCACATTACGTCACATCACTCATGTTTTACTTGTAAA